TCCAAGTCTATGATTACACTGCCCAGCGGCACCTGAATGTACAAACCAGGACAGCAGGACACAAGGAAGACAGCGTGCCTCTTACCTCCTCTTACAGTCCACTGCTCACCACAGCTTTACCTGGCTCTTGGGGCTAGGTGGCAGAGATTAGAAGTAGCAAAGTCTACAAATATGAAAGTGAGAATGAGGGTGACTGAACTAGGCACCCACAGTAGCAAAAAGTGACAGGTAGCAGTCTGACAAGAGCAGCAGGAAGACACAGGTAAGTAGAAAATAGGAGTTATTTATTTGCGAATCGGTCAGCTACTTTGTGCCACACACTGTACAAATTCCAACTATCCTAAGACCTTGCTGCTCAAAGCATGCTCTTCTAACAGCCCATCGGTATCACCTGGATGCTTGTAAGAAAGAGTCTTGGTCTCATCCCAGGTATGAACCAGAATCTGCATTTTAACAAGATCCTCAGGTGATGTGTGCACTAGTAAGGCCAAGAAGCCAGCAGCTATTACTGTCCCAACTTTACAGGCTAGGAATCTGAGGCTCAGGACAGTCAACCACCTTACAAGTGGTTAAGTTGCGAGTCTGAACCCCAATGTGTGGTTCAGAGGCAACTCTTGTTCTCCTGACGTGGTCAAAGAAAGGCCTCCAGGACATTTACCTTAGCAGCGATCATGTATTAACTTGTAATAAGATCATAGTAGGATCATGAAAACATAAGATACTAACCCTGCACCAGCACTTGAAAATTCAGTTATGTGCCGGGCGCGGTGGCTCAAGCCTGTAATCCCAGCACTTTGGGAGGCCGAGACGGGCGGATCACGAGGTCAGGAGATCGAGACCATCCTGGCTAGCACGGTGAAACCCCGTCTCTACTAAAAAATACAAAAAACTAGCCGGGCGAGGTGGTGGGCGCCTGTAGTCCCAGCTACTCGGGAGGCTGAGGCAGGAGAATGGCGTAAACCCGGGAGGCGGAGCTTGCAGTGAGCTGAGATCCGGCCACTGCACTCCCGCCTGGGCGACAGAGCGAGACTCCGTCTCAAAAAAAAAAAAAGAAAATTCAGTTATGCTCAGGATACTATTTTTAAAGAAACACAGAAATTAAAGTAATATAGTTAACACTTCAATTCCCATATTTCAAAAATCTCTTTTTACAAAGTTGACCAATTTTCCATTTCTGATGACTTTATTTAAAACAATGTAGAAGGATTTTGAATTTGACCATACTGGATAGATTGCTGTTCTTCTGGGCACATCTCTAGTGTTAGCAGGAGTGGATCATTAGATGGTCTCAGAGGTAGAGGTCAGGGACCCAGAACTGTAGGTTCCTGAGGTAAGAAGAGAGACTTGTATTTGGGATCAGGCTGTTAGCAGTCTCATTTGATATGAAGGGGCTTGGGCAGAGGTGGTTCCTAAGTTGATACCCTTGGGATTCTGGAATCTGATGGCAAGATTCCCCTCCCCACCTCAACCTCCCCATCATGGACTGTAACATCAGGACAAGACCACTGAGTACCTTGGTCATGAATCTGGGGACAGGAGATTAAAGGACAAGTTCACTCCTCCTTAGCTTGTATATTTAATAGACTTGTTTTTCTTGATAGGCATTTAGTATCTAGTATTTTAGTAAATATACTGATATGACTATAGGAACAGAGCACTCAGATACTGCAAGACCAGAGTGTGAGAAAGGATACATGATCTGGGACAAGAGAGCTACCAGAAACTCCAGCAGCTACTTTCTCTTTCTCTCCAGGCTGCAGGAGTTGTATCTGTATCTTCCACTCTATCAGGCCCTCCACTGCACCCTAATCAGTCAGGGCTGTGCCTCTCCTTGTGGAGGAATGCATTATCCTCTCAACAGCACCCTCTCCCTGTCAACATGGGTCCTGCTTCATCAAGTGGACTCCTGGAAGGTTTCTGCCTCGCCCTCCTGCTATTTTTTTGATTTCTGTTAACATGGCTCACTCTCAGTGACTCGGTTTTCTAACACCAAGTGAAGAATCTCATTGATGCAGCTCAGCTTTCTGAGCCAGAATTATAGTTCCAGCCACCAAAAAGCTGGACTGCACTGGATCAGAGGACAACTCCAGAATCCAATCAGCCAACATTGGAGGGAGTTACATGTTTGCATTTCCCACTTAAGTGGCAAGATGGGTAGGGAGATTCTCTCAAGAAGGAGGGTGGTGGGAAGAGTGAAGGAGGATTTATGGCACAGCAGGAATCTTCAGAATTTAAAGTCCTAGAATCTGAGGTGAAGGAAGACCTTCCAAAGTCATCTGGTCCAAACTGTGCCCTCGCACATCTCCCAGTTGCAATCCTAAACCCCCCAGGACACAAAGGTGCCAGTTCCCTTCCTGAAGCTCTCTGACGTGAATCAGGATTGGGTAGAGGAGAGGGGAATGGGACACAAGATGGGGAAGACCACTGATAAAACATCCTGCTAGCTAAAGCTTATGTTGAAGGTAACTTTAGAAATGTGGTTGGAATAACATCTCACTTAAAAGGCACATTGGTTTTCTGTGTGCATTCACTAAACACTCTGGGATGCACACGCTTTGGAAAAAGAAACTAAACGCTCACATACTGTGCTGTCTTCTAGAGTTGGAGAAGATGTCCTCAATTCCTGTGAAAACTTTATAGGATTTTTCACCTTCTTGGGCTTTTTACAGCACAGAATGCCGGATGTAATAAAATTGAAGTAACACCCAGGATTTTTGGGTGTTATTACTCAGGCAAAGATGAATGTGGACACACTGCAACCCAACCTTTTGTAGTCTTTAGGTGACGCATGGCACAGGTACACAGAAGCTTGGGCACACATGGAGTTTTAACACCTCAAAACATGGACAGATTTCTAAATCTCACTCCAGATCACTTGAGCAACATGGTTAATGCTTTTGGGATTCCTTTTTTCTTTTTTTTTTTTTGAGATGGAGTTTCGCTCTTGTTGCCCAGGCTGGAGTGCAATGGCGTGATCTCAGCTCACTGCAACATCCACCTCTCAGATACAATGGATTCTCCTGTCTCATCTTCCCAAGTAGCTCGGATTACAGGTGCCCGCCACCATGCCTAGTTAATTGTTTTGTATTTAGTAGAGATGAGTTTTCACCATGTTAGGCTGGTTGCAAACTCCTGACCTCAGTTGATCCACCCGCCTCGGCCTCCCAACGTGCTGGGATTACAGGCGTGAGCCACCGCGCCTGGCCTCGGTATTCTTACTGGCACAGAAAAGTCACCCTTTTAGTGGCAGTATTAATTTATCCAAAACAGGTGACCAAAATCTTTCAGAACCAATTTATTGTTTTGTTTTTCCAGGGAAAGGGAAAAAGTTGCCAAAGGGTGCTAGGAGGTAGTTGCACTTGGCCCCCAAACAAAGTGATATAATTTCTGTATCAAGCCCACATGGACATGCAAGCTATCTTCAAGCAGGTGCAGAGGTTTTTCTTTAAAAGCCACAGTCCGCCTAAAACTAACGCCGCAAACCATTAATTTCATGAACAAGCTGAGCATGAGAACACCTAAGATGCCTGTTTTAACCCAAGTCTGGCTGAAAGTCAGCTGGAAAATGCACTATCAACACAGGACACATTTTTACACAAGGACAGCAACACAAATTTATGGGACCATCTTCGATAGCCATTTACAATCTAGATTAACTTTCATTTTACTTGAGACAACAAAGTATGGCATAACATACAGAGGAAACATTCTTACCAGCCGGGGGTTTTTCACACTTGGCATTACTGGTGTTTTGTGCCAGGGGCCATCCCATTCATTGTAGGACATGTACAGCATCCCTGGCCTCTACCCACTACATGCTTGTAGCACCACTGACCAGACATCACAACCAAAATTGTCTCCAGACACTGTCAAATGTTCCCTGGGCATAGGGGAATCGGTAAATAAAATAGTCTGCAGTTGAGAACTACTGTACTAAACAAAGACAAAGGTTTAGCTGTTTAAGACAGAGTTGTCTGGAATTAAATCTGCCTCCCTGGAGGTGGGCTGATCTCATCATCCCTTTGGTGTAGTTAGCACCTTAGAGCTGGTGGGTAGGGCATTGCTTTTCCTTTTCTGAACACAGGGTCAGAAAAGCAGTACCAAGGAATTCTTTATCCTGTACATCACCTGTACTCCTTCAGTTGTAGGATTCCTAACTTCCTTGGTTAGGAAGTAACATGAGACCACAGTGTGTGATCATTCAAGAAAGCAATTAATTCTTATATTTAGGAAGAGGCATGTTGTGAGCTCCTGAAGACTTCTATCTTCTAAAAAACATTTCCTCAAAAAAAAAATTATGATATTTGCCTATTGAGGCAGACTTCCCACATAAAAAGATCTGCATTACCTGTCAACAGGTCACATCCAATCTGGTTCCTCTCCTGTTACACTTTCCCCAGATGTACTCTGGAAATCAACTTAGGAGGGCCAAGGGGCCCAAGGCTTTTGGAAAACTTGGTTTGGTCTGTAGCCAGGAGTGCTGTTTCAGCCAAGACCTCCCTGAACAAACTGCCTACAGTCAGCCCCAGCAAGAATTTACTTTCCACATCAGGTGAGTAGTGACTATAGCCAAGAGGATGTGAAGGCCACTGCGTTTCCCAGGAAAGGGAGCTGCCTACCTCCACAGACTACCTCCCAGAAGCAGAGGGAGACTCCCCTCGGTAAAGTTTCTCCCTGTGCGGTACCTTGCTCCAGAAAGATATTCAACCCCTGGAGGGCCCTGGCTCTCAGAAGCAAGTACAAGGTGTGAAAGCAGCTAGAATGTGTCCCTTCTGACATGCAGAGAGTGAAGGGGGCTGTTGTATAGCCACTACCAGAAGAGCAGGTACAGCCTTGGTTAGAAACCCAAATGCTGAGCAACTGAATCCTTGCACGTTCTTGTTTATGTCTAAGTAGATCCCATTAAGCCCTGGGCACTTGGCTTGACGACTCCCTGGATCAAAGTTAAATTACCCAACAAGCTTCTTTTCAGAGAGAGACACACGCACAGACTGACTCACCTTCCAGAAGCTATCCACTTTGCCATACACAAGGGACTGGTTCTGCCTTTTGATTTCATTAATGTGGTGGATGTCACTGGAGTTCAGGTGCTGCTCGACCACAAACCCCAGAAAGCTGTTGTCTGGGGTATGAGCTGGTGTGCAAAGAAATGGAGAGGACAGTTAGTGTCCAATCAGCAAGAAGAAACAACAATCACGTATTTAACACAGGCCATCTTACCCGTAACAAAATGTTTTCATCTTACCTTGTTCTTTCTTACACCTGAGGGAGGTGAGGGATTGCTCTCTCCCACACGTTCCCAGTAAAACCGTCATGAGAACACTTCTCTCTAGGATGGATTAACCTGAACCAAAACCTGCTCTTTTTAGGGAAAATACATCTGTCTGAAAATCATTAAGCTGTGTATTCTTTTCCTTGTTGCCTCAGAATAAGGCTACTGTCCGTTTCCCAGCAGAAATGCTCTCACCCAGGTTTCACCACCCACTGGCCAAAAACCTGTAGGGGGCAGGGCTGATCGGGAGTTCTGAATAGGCACAGAGCCCCCATGTAACTGAATCTGACTCCAGCGGTGTTTTTCACCCAGCTACATAACAAGACGTTTAGGGATAGAGTGATGAATAATCCCCAGAACCTTTCATCTCCTCTAAGAATTACTCACTCATAAAAGATGTAATTATGGGGTTATATTGAACAGGTGCATGGAATGAAGACAGAATAAAAGGTAAAGCTTGCTGGGGCACAAACCACTCCAAAAAAACACCAACCACTGCAAAGGAATACTGTCTACAGAGTACGCTATTCTGGAAAAGAAAATTTTGGATTTCTCTCATTTGGGTTCTGTAACTTCTCTAACACTTGACCAAGGGGTACAGCAACCCCACACCCTCTCCAAACATCTGCATCTCGTGCCTGTAATTTTAAAAGGCATTTCACCAGCAAGTGACAGTCAGAAAATAATTCTCTCTGGATTAAACAGAGACCCTCTTCTCCTTTACCTTCATTCCGTCAAGAGAAATCTCAGTTTTTCAGATGAGCCTGCTGAGACCATGTGCGGCTGATATTAAATGAAGCAACTGCTCTGCTTGGCTCTGACCTGAATAGAACAGCTATAAATAACATGAAACCAAATTCCTCCTGGTAAATTGAGATATACACAAGATTCTGAAAAGTCCACACACTGCAACCTTAACCACATCCATTCACAGGTAGGTGGTCAGCAAATAGAGAAAGCTGGTCCCTTCATCTCATTCTGGCTGTCCTAGGACTGAGGAGCGGTTTCCCAGGCTTGTACTAGCACAGAAATTCTTTCAGACAGATGGGCAAAGGCGAGCCTGCAGCACAGGCCTCGGATGCCCAGACTCCAATGTCACCCACCATGCATGCAGGGGAACATGATGAAGAAGGGACACTGGCAGGAAGCCCTGAGCTGTGGAAATGCAAGAGCCATGTAAATACTGTGTTGTCAACCTCCGTTTCCCAGGCTTTTGCCTAATGGGGGTGACAGAATGAGGAGATAATAGGGTTGTGACTGGGGAGTTGTGTTCAGTCTGGCCAATCTGTTATTTCATTTCTGCGTTTTTGAACAAGTGCCCAGAGGCAATGGCAATGGCTGCAGTTGGCTGGAAAGTAAATTACTGAATAAATTCTACTGCCAACAAGAGGCAATGGTTGTTTTTCCTCCCCCTTTTGAGGAGCTGAGGGCACAGGGAATTTTCAAGGATTAGCAGGGACAGGAACACAGCCTGTGTGCATTCTCAGTGTTACGGTGCAGCTTAAAATATTTCTTTGTAAAATTTTTTGTTAATTCTAAAAGTTTTGAACTCAAACCTGACACTCTACTTCAGGATCAGGTGCTTTTAATTTTTTTTTTATTTTCAGAAAATTTACATGGTGATTAAAGCATGATGCTTGAAATATTTGTTTCTGAAATGTAGTCATTTAGTCCCTAGGTAGGCACTTAAATAATCCAGCAAGTAAAACAATGGGTTTTATTTCATATTATAATATACTAATGCATAGTAAAAAATAAAATGCTTTAGCCACCCAAATGAACAAATACATTTATGTAACATTTTTGTGTGAAAGATTCTCCTAGCTTCTAGCTTGACTGGTGGGAGGGAGAAGTAAATATCAGAAAAACTTGTGAAGAATGGTGGGCTTTTGCTGCTATGACTATAATTTGGTATTCAATCAACTCTGACACTATGAATTTCACATCTAAACTCTCCTCTATGTTTTCATCCAAACACTTTAACTTCTGTCTCACCTTGTGAAATGTTAACTTAGGGATCAACAACCTGCAAGTGTGGTTTAAAGGACCTCAGGTGAGACTTGAGATTTACAAACAGTATCACCACATTTAATAAGCCAAGGCCTGAGCACTGGTCTGACCTCTACATGCCTTCTCCTCCCAGGTGACTCTAAACTTGCCACAGGACACGAAACCTTGACCACATAAGGGTCTGCTCAGCTGTGACTCGCCCCAGCAGGTGATTCTGAAGTAACTACGGGTCCAGTGTGGCTTGCTTCCAAGGATCTGAACACCAGCTGGAGCCTGCCTGGTAACATCTGCAGAGAGCGCCCTGGTCTTATCACAAGTGTTCTTAATGGTGCTTATAATAAATCAAAAGCCACAAGTCCAGGAGGATGTTATCTGAAATGTCCATTTCATTGAGTTCAAATTTCAGGCCAACCTTTCTTTTTTGTTCTGCCTTAGGAAGCGAACAGAGACTTTTATTGTGTTGGGAGGATTTCAAAGAGAAGGTATTTACATTTTAAGGTAAATCAAACAAATCTCAAACGGGATGCAGGAAATCCTGTACTTTCAGTAATACCTCCATCCCAGAGGATAAACAAATGTGATTTTTAAAAAAGATGACTGATATTTTGAGTTGACTACATGCCAAATTCTGTGCTAAGTGCATTATAGTTACTCTTCCATTTTAACCTCATAACCGTGTAACATGTTTGTACAGATAAGAAAACAGAGAGAGATTTGGTTTAACTACCCAAGTCTACATGCTAGGAAATGGCAACACTAGGATTCAGAGTCAGACTGGCTGCTTTCAGGGCATCAACTCCTTAAGTCACTCTAACATACAGCCTCATAGTCCAAATAATTTTCTGCATCCTGTGAACAGCAGTGGTAAACCATGCTTCAGAGGAAAATAATGTTCTAAGGTACAGCAAAATACACAAGAGGGATCCAGAATACATGTGCAGTATCACCTCAGTTTCTTGAGTATCTTGTGCCATATATGTATATGGGACCACACAGATTTTTTTTTTTTTACATGCTACAAAACTACAGGAGATTTGCCAGACATTAGCAATGATTTTAAGATAATTTAGAACAAAGCATCTCTTATTAAGAGAAACACTATTTTAAGCACTTTGGAAGCACCTATTTACAAATGATTACAAATCAGCTTGATGTGTTCCCTGAGCAGAGTATGATGATAACTACTTCTAAGAAATACTATTAGCTTAGCTTGAATAATTCATTTAATGACAAACGTTTTGAAGCATTTCTACAAACCAGGTTATATGATAAGTATTGACAAATTACAATATAAAGATGAGTGTCTGCCCTCAAGGAGCTTACCAACTACTTCAAGGTCAACTTGAAAAGTCAAGTTGAGCTTTCTTTCAATTGCATAAATTTCTGAGGTCTGCTTTTGCTATCAGTAAGTCCCAAACATCTCTAAGAATGTTATGTATCTTCACGTCCCCTGGTCACCAAGAGAAGAAACCCCAGTGCCAGCCTGGGCCCATTCTTTAGCCCTCACAGTCAGCAGTCCCAGGCATATTAGTTTCTCAAAAATCCATCAACTCAGCCTTTCCTTTTCATATTTGTTAGTCCAGACCTTCTCACTTTTTGCTCAGACTTCTGCAATAAACAACCTTTTCTTTTTCCTAAATACAAATGGATTTATTGGTTTTCCTGATTATAACAGAAATATATCCTTAGATTAAAACTTTTTTCAGATAATAAAGATATGAGAAAAAAATAAGTTACATATCTTTCATCACCTAGAAATAACCACTATTGCTGGTCTTTTTTTCTAAGTTTGTGGATCATTTTTCCCCTCAAAATATTGAATTCCAGTTAATGATGTCAAGCCGAGGCATCAGAGGGTTCTTTTATGTATCCCCCCCCCCCAAAAAAAAAAAACAGCAAAAAAGGTGAATTGATGGATAGAGAGAAGATTTGGCATATGGATTGCTACAGTAAATGGTTAATTGTAAAATCTAGATTTGTGGGTTTCTAGTAACATTTCTTCTGTTTTTTTTTGTATGGCTGAAAACGAATAATGCTTGTCATCATATTCATGACATTTTTGCTGATTCTGATAAAACTGACGATAGAAACAAATGCATTGAAAAATAGTTATGTCACACAAGAATTCTGGATTAAAAAACTATACATTACTACATTATGTGAAAAATTTTACAAAAACTGATTTTTTTTCCCCCCCCAAATGTTGGTGACACTAGTTTCTTCAAGAGAGAAGGCTGGGATGCAGGCTAGGGAAACTAATCTACAGTTGAGCTGAGAAGATGAGTGCCCAAACTGTTGACAAAAGGCACTTCAGGGTAAAATTTTCAAGTGTCAAAAAGCAATTTAGGAGGGAATGGACTCCTTAGAAGAATAACACTGCTGAAAGCTAAGACTCAGACTGAAGGAACCACAAGGCTGATCCTACTCCTCACTGGTCTGCACAGAGCTTAAAGGCAAGAGCCCTCCTGATTCAAGTTAAAGGCCAAAATGGCAGTTTCAATCACAAATAGCTCCTTTGGTTGTCATGCCCTAAAAATAAAATTGTACATGGAAGTTAACTGATCCTTAGCTACAGCCAACAGGCTTATTATTTGCATGAATAGGAACTGACTTGGTTCTAAAATTCCTGTTTTGCTAGGCAAAATTTTTTATCCACAAGCCATCACTCAATTTGATCATGCAAATAAAAATGGCTGTGAGCTCCAAATCCTGGGAGAAATTCAGGGTTGGAATGTCAATGAAAATGACAATCATTATGGTCCGAAAGCCCAACAATGTAAGTAAGTTCCCTGGGAAGACACAAGAAAGTAAGATGAGGCCACTGGCCTAAAGAAGTTTCTGCAATCTTAAAT